TGGCGGATGTGTCAGGATTATACCGACCTGAACAAGGCTTGTCCGAAGGACAGTTTCCCCTTGCCAAGAATCGACCAGCTCGTCGACGCTACCGCTGGACACGAGCTACTGAGCTTCATGGATGCCTACTCAGGATACAACCAGATCTTTATGGACCCTGCCGATCAAGAGCATACGGCATTCATCACCGACCGCGGTTTGTACTGTTACAACGTCATGCATTTCGGCTTGAAAAATGCGAGAGCAACTTACCAACGGCTCGTCAATCGGATTTTTGCCAAGCACATCGGTGACATCATGGAGGTATATGTTGATGACATGTTGGTAAAAAGCCGAACGGCAGGGGAGCACCTGGAAAATTTGGCCCTCATGTTCGGTATACTGAAGGACAACTTCAGCTCTGGGAATCAAGTTTGGGCTTTGATTAGCCTTCGGCATTCTTAGCCGTCGCTTAGCCTTCGGCAAGTACGACCATTGTTCTCCAACTTCTATCTAGCCCTCGGCATTTTTGAAGGGATTTTCCTAAGTGTTCTACCCATTGCAAATCAACTTGAATTTACTTGGGTCATCAAAATTTGAAAATAATAAAATAAAAACAAATGATGAAACTTTTCGATTAAAAAGATGCCCACGACATCAAGAGTACATCAAGGTTACGTTAAGAAGATGCCCACGGCATTAAATTACATAAGAGAGAAGCGGGACTGGAGAAAAAGCCTCTGGAGAAGATCGTCGCTCTGTCGTTCGAGATAGGACTATACCATTGAGTATCATTGCAGAGCGTACAAAACTTTCTGTCAGGCTGCGGGACTGGAGAAGAAGCCTCTGGAGAAGATCGTTGCTCTGCCGTTCGAGATAGGACTATACCATTGAGTATCATTGCAGAGCGTAAAAAATTTTCTGTCAGGCGGCGGGACTGGAGAAAAAGCCTCTGGAGAAGATCGTTGCTCTGCCGTTCGAGATAGGACTATCCCATTGATTATCATTGCAGAGCGTACGAAACTTTCTATCAGGCGGCGGCTTTATCGGCTTCGGCGGCATCCACATCGCCTTCGGCAGTACCCCCTTCGGGATCGGCTGGGACCTCCTCTGTGGTGTCCTCCCCCTCGTACTCCTCAATCATTTCTTCGGTTATACCTTCAGGAAGGGGGGAGGATCGGCAATGAAGTTGAGGTTGAGCTTCTTCCCGGGGTTGTACCGTTTGAAGAGGTAGACCAAGTCCGCCATCTCCTTGCCTACTTCCGAGTCAAGCAAGGTGGAGAACTCAGTTGACCGACGGTACCGCCCGATCGCCTCCTGGACGGCAGCCGCGATCTCGGAAGCCCTGACCCGCTCGGACTCCTCAAAGGCCACCTGGATCGCCTCTTTCGAATCTCGACCCCCCCTTGCCGATAGCTGCGCCGACTCCAACGCTGCCAACATCTCATTGAGCTTGGCTTGATAAACTTTGACCTGTCGTTCGGCAGCCTGCATGTCCTTCGCCAAGTTCGCCTGGGCTTGGATCGCTTTGACAGCTTCGGCAACCTTCGCTCTGCCGTCTTCGTACGCCTTCTTCGCCTTTTCGGCGGCATTGATGGCTCGCTTGACGCACAGCCACATGTCCATTGAGGCCTGAACAGCAAAGGAAAACATTAGACAAAAAGAAAACAAACGGCAAGAAATTGCTAAAAACGGTAGGCACTTGCCGAAGCTTGAAGGCGGAAGGCGCGGCCAGCCTCCTCCCGAATGAGCTTCTTCGGAAGGTCCTCGATCTCTGACAGCTCCATTTGTGAAACGAGGATCATGTGGTTCACAAACTGGACTATCTTCGAAGGACAGGCAAGGGTGACAGCTTCGGAAGGCGCCTCCCCGTCCTCGGCAGAGAAGATGGCCCGAAAGGGCTCGGCTTGTCGCCCGCGTTTCGGAGCAGGGTCGGCATCAAGGTCTACCGTGAACGGCCTCTTGCCGGCAGCTTTAGTAGAGGTGCCCTCGGTAGGCGTACCTCGGCTGGGAGATGGACCAGCAGCGGCCGCTTTAGCACACGCTGAATCGGCGTTCATCTGACGACGGCGCTCGTTAAGAGTCAGGTCGTCAGGGTCCACCCCTTCTGAAGGCGGAGGTGCCGTTCCGGCTGGCCGCCCCTTCTTCTTCCCTTGCATGCCGAGCATGCGGCGCCTCTTTGAGGACTCGGTCCTCCTCTTTTGCTC